ACATTGTGGGTGGTTTACTGAAGGATAAAGAGAGATGAAACACACAGGAGGCTGGATGAGAGGAGCTTCCTTATATAGAACAAGCTTCTCCTCATCTTGCTGTGGAAACACCACAGCAAGAGATTTTTAGCTCTCGGATTGTAAAATAACCCTGAAAGACCACATTAAGGTGCTGATGCGGTGCACCTGCTTCTGGCCAAGTGCAGGTAAAGCCATGAAGTGGTGATGGTTGTGATTGCATGGGAAAACAGCATCCAATTTGATACTTGATCAGTTGGGTTCTGAAGAGGGATGTGGCGCTATAGTGCTGCGGTTAGGAGAACAACTCAAGCTTTCTCAACAAGAGAGAGAAAAAAGGTTCTCCATAGGAATGGAAGAGAACCATTGTAAAGTAAAGTGACCCGCTGCCTTTTTGGTAAGAGGAAACGGTAAACGTTTTGTTCGCAGGGTTAGCAGTTGGTGCTTGTTCACGAGGCCAAGACGGACTTTAAAGTCAGAGCCTGTATCTCAAGTAAAATCGGAACGGAGTAAAGAGTCAAACACAAGAGATGTTTTTGTGAAATGCCAAATTATGTAATTTCTGAATGTGAAGGGAACATGTATTCTTTCATCAGACAACTGAATGATAAAGCTTGAAGATGTTCCATAAGAACTGAGAAATTTGGCCACAACAGGAACGCTGTTGGATGTGGCCAAAACATTTCACCCTTCGGCAGAAGTTGAAGAACAGAACTCCTTGTACAAAGTGGCAGGAGAAATGTTGATGAGATGCACTTCCATCTTCGACCTCAACATTCATGAAGTTCAGACAGATCAAAACAAAAGTCTGGATAGATGGCGTTTTGAGAACAATGAGGATTTTGTTTAAAATCTTCTACAAGCTACAGGTTTGAAACCAACTCCCGGGTGTGCAACTCTCAAGTCCAATCTCGTACAAAATGTTTCCAAATGGTTTTTGGATCTATGTCAGGTCACCTTACCAGAGCCAACGTACTTCCTGCTTTGAAGATTGTCAACTTAAAAAAAAAAAAAGAAAACGCACTCGCATGAATCAGTTCCACGTATGCCATAGCCCACCTCTTTCCAATCACATCGCTTCAGATGTGAAGGAATATGTAGCACAAGCATAGCACACGGGGGTGGGAGTTATGCATAATTAAAACCTGAAGGTGTGTGGGTGGGTGTGTGTTCCACACACAAAGCACAACTGAAGCCTGCGTGTCCCCCGGTTATGGTTCGGTGGGTAGAAGAGGAGAAACAGACGACAGGAGGTCAAAGAAACAAAAACAGGTAGACGGGTGACAAAACATGCGGCAATTATCAAGTAATAAATTCAACATTTGGATTCAGAATGCTCATATTTGGCTCAGACTCCTCATAATATTCTGAAGTGGCATGATCTGTCACGCTGCATGACACATTTATGAAAACTGTAGTGGGGAAAAAATGAAAAAAATAATTGATCAGAAATAAAAAGAAAAACATAAATGCAAATTCTTTTGATTAGTCACAGTGTGAGAACTCTGGATTATTCCTTTGGGAACATCCCAGTAAATTTGCCTGGCGGGGGAAACTCTGGCTTAACGGGATTCAGAATGAGATGCACACCAACACACGTGGCAGATGGGGCCCTGAGGGGTATCTTGCAGGCACAAGGATCCCAGGGATCCCCTGGAGACAAGGCACAGAGTAACACAGAACATTAAAGTCTGTTTTGCTATACAAAAATAGCAATGCTAGAAGAGAAAAATCAAATGGGAGTGTAGCTCTTCAAAAGACGTTTTGAATGTCCTGCGTGTTAAGTTTGTAAAAAAAACTTTTACTTTTTTCCCCACCGTATCAAGCTTCATTTGGATTACCAGAAGATTATTATTTCATGTTGAACCAAATAAAAAAACATAAAATCATTAATAATTTACAATGAATCCACTTGGGGAAACATGGAAGTAGGATTTTTTTTTTCCTCAAGAGCGAGAGATGTCCCAGAAGAGCTGGTATGCAAAATTAAAAAAAAAAGAAGGTATGTTTGGGTTTCTTTTCTTTTCTGAAGCTTAAAACATGAATAAATCTTAATAATATTTTGAGGTTCTTATGGACTTTCAGGTTTTTGTTTAGGTTGGACTAAATTCAGAATTTCTTTCATTAAATGAATCTTATCTACATTTTTAATTTAAATAACTGTTGCATTTTTTTGTCACTCAATATGATAGAAATGCAATTTAGTTTCTGTCCAAAAATAAGGCCAAACTTTTCCTGTTTTAAGTCAACTGGGATCGACAAAAGAAATTCTATTTGAAACATGCCAAAGCAATTGGGTAAAACACCTTTTGTTAGATTTTTTTGCTCAAATCTTTTCAAATTCAAAAATTCACATACATTTCATTAGTTTTTGGTGATTAATATCACCTTTTAAACACGTTTGTAACAAATATTTTGAGATTCCTTCTACAATCTTCTCCCAACAGTTTGCTGGGACTTTGGCCCATTTGTTGTAACAGAACTGAATTTGGGGATTGGGTTTTTAGACTGCCTTGCTCAAGCACTCATACCTTAATCAGCTTAATCTTAATCTTAGTATACGTTCACACCAGCCCTGTTTAGTACGCTTTAATAATACTCCAGTTTGTTTGTCTAGTAGGTCCAGTTTGTTTGGGGGGGTTGAATGCGCAACTGAACTTTGCTAGGAACCAAAAAAAGCGAACTCTGGTCCCCCTACAAAAGTAAGTCTCAGTTTGATTGAACTGAACTCTAGCGCAGTTTGAATACATATGTGAATGCCAAGTGAACCGTGCACCTCTCCAAAAAGCAAGAAGCAGACTACAGTGCAGGGCATTCTGGGTGAATAAAACCAAAACAAACGTAAGAGTCTAGCGCTAGCGGCAGAAATGTTTCTCAAAGACAGAAGAGAAATTCTTCAACGATGGAAATCTCACACCACTCCATTTTTGTTTACATTTCATGAAGATGGAAGTCGCGCTCTTCAGAGGTTTTTGTGTCACTTCCTTCATAGGCTCTCGTTGCAGCGCCACCACAGGCGAGGAGGGGAACAGGTGTCAGTGTGAAAGTGAACAACATCGGCTGAAAATGTAACAGCTGATGTGTTCGATTTTGGTGCCCAATCGAATACAGTTTGACCGGTCTGAAAACAACCTTTGTGTGCATATGCCTCTAAATTTAAAGGTAGAAACTTCTGTGAGAAATTCCTTTAATGTCAGACAAAACAAATCTGTCTTTCTGACATGGCAGGTTGATAAGTTGTTGTATAAGCACATTTAATGAGAGGTATGTAGTCATTTAAACCTGTTGCAGTAAATATAAGCGAACAGCCATGGTTTGTTGGAGGCGAGTTCATTGTAAAGGCCTATAGGGATTTGGATGTATCCTGTCTTGAAAGTTCTCCGACTCTCACTCTCTCTCGTTCTGCTGGCCGTCTCTCTTTCATTCGCTACCCCCAAGTCCTCCCTTTACTTCTGAGCTAACTGAAAACGCAGTGCGCTGTGCTTCACAATGAAGTGTGGTCCTTTCAAATGTTAATGCTTTTACTCTCGGCTCAGAGCACCGCACAAGGCGAGAAACAGGGCTGGACACAAAAACAAGCCTATGTACACACGCACGCTTTGACACACACACACGCACACACACACACACACACACCCACACACACACACACACACACACACACACACACACACCACACACACACACACACACACACACAAACAAGCGCGCACACGCACACAGTGGTAGCTGTAGTTACAGTGAATCTCAATGATCTACCAGAGGAACTTATTTGTGTTGATGAACTTCCAGACCCAACACAAAGAAAAGGAAAATGTGTATCCACTTCACTTCTGCTGCTGACAGGTTGTTCATTATTCATGTCAGTGTATCACACAAACAAAACCATTACAATTTGACGAACAAGGTGAAGGTGGCAGACAAATTGATTGTAAAGCTCTGACAAGACGACAGAGCAATCTGAAGGATGAAATGCAGGTGCACCGATTGAGATTCAGTCTTTGTCACGTATAACAGCAGTAATGGGTAGAAAATGGATTAAAGCATTGGCTTTGTATTCATCCAAGGTTGGAAGTAAGGATGTAGGTCAATAATTGAGCATAAACCCCATTGAATTTTGCTCAAATTAACATGTTTCGCAAGTAGAAATAGGTTTTGTTCTGTTGTAATTTGGCTTGGTGTCTAGTGGTTCTTAAGCATTTCAGATTTCTCATATTGATTTTCATCATTTGCAGGTAATGCACTAAAAATCCTGGGCTACATCATTTGACAAGCAGGAGTTCTTCCCAATAATATTCATTGTGAAATCTGCTGAGAGGGTGCTTTAGAAAAAGTTTTCACATTGCTGTCACACTAAGTGATCAAACTGATGATGTAATTGTAACTAATCAACTAAAGGAAACGGTTTGCTTTTATAATTCCAGGTGAGATCTATTAGCAGCAGTGGAAACCATCGTACATCTTAGCATTTTACAGCTCGTGATCCGTGGAGGTGAAGGTTAATAACCCTAATAGCTCTTGTTTCAGCCTGCTGATGGCCAGCAGGTCTCTCCTGAGCAGTAAAACTCTAATCGCTCCCTGAGGGGTCCTTACTGCCTGTCTGCGTCCACTCTTTGTTTCTGTCTGATCGTAGCTTAACTCTGCAGGGGCTCCATGCTGAGTTAGCTCAAGTCACCGAAACATATGGTCTGAGGCAGATCAGCACTTTTCTGCGGGAGAGGTTAATGGATAATACCTGCAATATATCAGATATTCATACTGCTGTGGCGTTCGGGCGTTGTACGGGCTCTGCAGCTGCAGAACGCAGTCCCAGTGAGTGATTATTTTTGGGAAAATTGATTAAGTTTTATGACATCAGAATTTTGAAAAAGTTATTTGTTTAAGATAAATCGTCTCTAGAAGCAAAAAAAAAAAAAAAAAAGTAAAACAAAATTCCGCTTGCAGCCAAAATACAAGTAAAACATCAGATGAATCAAACAGACCTGAGTAGGACCAGTTCATTTCTTCTGGGAGTTTCTCCAGGCCTTGGGCCGGCGGCTCCACCGCCAGAACTATCAAAAACAAGACAGAAGTGTCATTATAGAAGATATTTCTAGTCATTGGTTTGTATTATACTCAGCTAAGGAGTTTTCCAAAAACATGTACAGAACAAATAAAAATCAAATGCTTTCCAATATTCACATTTTCTCTCATTTGACGTCCAAGTACAAGTTTGTTACAGTTATTCTTAAAGAATAACTTTAAGAAAGGAACAGAATCTATATAAAATTTAAATAAAAAAACAAACAAACAACAGAAACACTTTGTTTACACTGGCGATTCAACTGTGGCACAGTGGGAAGTGTATTCAACTCGTTTTAACGTTTTAAAGCTGTGGGTTCAATTCCAGCTTCCTACCTGCCGTCTCAACGTGCCCCAAGTTGCCGACCGATCTTTGAGTCGGGGTGTTTTTGAGTGACAAAACTATTCACACCCCTTGAACTTTAACATATTTTGTCACATTATAGCCACAAACATTAATGTATTTGATTAGAATTAATTGTGAAAGATTAACACAAAGTGAAATACAAATGTGAAATTGAAACATTTTTTTTTTTACTAATGAAAACCTGAAAATGAATCCTTTTGTAAGTCACCGTACCTATGGATTTTTTTAAACTAAATGACTTAAATATAATGTGTAGCAATTAATAGATTAAAGTGAGTAAAATATATTAGGCATAACATGTAATAAGTGGGGTGAATTGAACTAAAGGTTGTCATGCTGTATATCTGGTAAACTTATTTCTATGTATAGAGTTGAACATAAAAAAATAATATTCAGTTTGCAACATTTTAAATGGAACTGTAAAAAAGCAATAGACACGCACTCAAAGGAGAAATGCCAAAATGATACATTTTCTCTTTCTTTGATCTTTCAAAGCATAACTCTGAAAAAAAGAAAGAAAGGAGAAAAAAAACAGAGAAGATGAAAGCGTAGTTGAGAGTCAGATTTAGGTCACAGTAACATCCCAACAACAGCATGTGGAACAGACACACTGTGAATAATCCTATAGTTACAGTGTTTGTGTAAACATCATAAATTACTGCACGGGTGACATGATGTATGCCCCACTGCATTTACTTTTGCAGTTCAGTCACGAGCCCTCGCTCACGTCACTGAGGTTACTATGGAACGGCTCGGTAAGTATTATTGGTCTTTGTGTACAGATTTCTCATATTCAGCTTCAGCCCAGCCTCCATTTTCAGAGGAGCCATTTTTGTGTTTAAGCTACTTAACTCTGATCCATGAAGCACCAGCAGAAAATAAAAAATAAAAAACACCCATAGCTCGACAGATTGGGCTATTTTCACAGGCCAAAATCTTCTCCATTCCTACAGTAAAAAAAAAATATATATATATATATATAAAAGTCACACTTTTAACACAAAATATTGTGTAGGTAGCACTAATATTGCCATAGAAACTCTACCTAAACAAAGAATGATCATTCTCTTCTATCCATTTTTACTAAAAGCTGACTTTCATCTTGTTTCCATTTGGGAACAACAGGAAGTGCTTTTTAAAGATCTGTCTCGTGAACAAACTTGTTCCAGTCATTTCAACTGTGACATTGTGTTTTATTTTGCATTAGGAGAATACTGACAAAGTTTTGTAAGTATTCCATCTGTAATGGAAACGTAGCTACAGTTCACATTTCGTGGGCAAAAAAACAATAAAATGCTGCCTTACAAACCATCTACTCAGAGGAAGAGGGAAAGAAGGTAAGAACTGAAAAGAAAGAATAAGGTTATATTGCACAAATGAAAAAAAAAAGCATTCTAAGATGAAAGCAGAAATTTCAACACATTTTTTTAACTAGCTCAGAAAAAAAGGACATCAAAGCTGCTCCATTTTGATAGACATTGGGTCATTCAGGGCCTTTTACATTTTAATCGGTGACAAGCTGGTATTAGGGGTTTAAGACGCTCATACAGTAGCCATCAATCATCTAAAAGGCAAAAGAAAGAGAAGCCGTGGGGGATCTGTGTTTTAAAGCAAGCGGAAGAAAGTGAAGGGCCTTTACTGCTGCAGGTTGGCCATGCATGAAGCCCAACGCTGAATCACTTCATGATTTCACCCATCAACACAGCACCTGCTTTCCAACACTTTTCAGGGCTCGATATCAAAAGGTTTACAAAAGAGAATTTTCTGTAGATGGTGTCACCATCAGAAAAAAGTCAAAATCTTCTGATGAATTTGCCTGCATTGATGCAATCAATGCAGGATGGGGTTTTTTTTTTTGGTGAGGGAAAGATTACGACATTACTGAAGTTCAAGCATAACAGTTTGTTCAAGGTCAAAAGTAAAAATGAGTCTTTGATTGGATGGCGAAACCTGAGGCAGAATGCTAGTAGCTTTAAGCTTTAGGCAGAGCTCTATCACACACTCCAAATATCCCATTCATGCTGGAAGGCTAGATAGACGGTTCAAACCCTAGGAAGAAAAAAAAATTGGTTGGCACAGGCATTTTTCTTTTTCTTTAGCAAAACTAGAAAAAAACATCTCCAAGATTCCCAAGATGTTGAAAGCCTTGAGTCCTTACTGGGAGTTCTGGGTGTTCCCTCTGGCATCCTCCTGGGATGTGCCTAGAAACTTCCAAAGGAAGGTCCTCATCAAGCACCTCAACCGACTACTGTTAAGCAAGGTTTATGTTTTCTATTAACCCAAAGCAGAAAAACAAAATTATTTGATTCTTTATTGCAAGTTATGTAGGTTTTGTGAGTCATCCAGTCTTTTGCACCCCCACCAGAAACCCTATGGAAGAAGCTCTTCATACCCAGTATCATGTTCTTTGGGACATGATCTATATTTCTTGACCATAGAGGAAAGTTGGAATTAAAGACCAAATTTAAAAAAAACAATAAAAAATGCAGAATTTAAAAGAAGAGATCTAAAGAAAATGTATAAATATGTGCAAGCAGAAGCATTGAAACTCACAAGAACACAGAGAAACCATTTGCTTGCTTCAAAGTAAACCTCAAACAAGCCTTTTCATAAATCTTACCCAGTCCTGGTATGGTTATGATTATGGACGAGGGTGGTAAAACCATTGAATTCTAACACTGGACAATTTAGATCATAGATCATAATTTAGTACAGATTCTAGACCAGAATAATAAATAAATTCCGAAAGTCATCGTTCTGACCAGAAATTTGAGTTAGCATGGAAGTCAAAATGGTCGCTTTGAGAATTGCCTCAAAGGAAAAAGGTCTTTGAGATGCCAGAGAAAGTATTAGTGACTTAAGTTTTGTCCAGCTGTATAGTCATCAGAAGTTGAAATAACAATTTTGCCAAAAAGTTTTTACGCTAGCTTGAGGTGGTTTTTGGCTTCACTAAAAAAGAAGAGTTAATGTGCAAAAGGGGAGATGGAAACACATTTACCAAATAAGTTCTGACATAGCACACTTCCCTGTCCATTGGTGTGTCTACGCCTTACCAGAGGCACAAAACTCAGTCAACTTCAAAGTCTGAACTTCCAGTATGGAGGACAGAACCGTAGTCTCAAATGGCAAGCGAGAGGCACTCCAGAACTGGGATGGCAGTAATGAATTGATGTGCTCCATGCTAGTTAGCAACCTCTACTTCCTGTTTATTACAGCCATGATTCACCCCGAGTCAGTAAAAGGAAACGCGCCTCGTTTTCCTTTTGTTTTTTCTTGTTTGTGACATTTCAAAAGTTCATGTAGAATTCGTGTGACATTTGGTTGGCTAGCTAACTCATAGCTATTGTAGCATGAAGCTGCTCACCACACACTCCTCTCACATTGACCCATGCTAAGTACAAAGCACCACTTTTGTCTGAAGAACTTTGGACTGGAAGTCAAATTGAACCATCAAAACCTCTCACCGCTTCCCGATCTTCAAAAACATGGCATCAATCTCACCAACTGTCATCACATGATAAGTAGCACTTTCTTCTCTTTTTTTTGGGTCACAACATATAAAAATAACTACACTTAAATCTCTTGAGTGAAAGTAACCCTACACAGCAGCTGCAGTCAGTGACAAACACACAACATCCGCCTCACATAAAACGTCACACCTGTTGGCCGCCGAACCACACACACACGCTCCCGCAGGCCCATGCCTTCAGAGGCCAGACGATAACTTATATAGCCTTCAGCTGTGTGTGGAGTGTCAGCCGGGTAAATTACCACATTTGACCTCTCTCACACTTAGCGTTTCTCTGGATTCATCCTGCTGCGTCTGCATAAGCAGAGAACATCCAGACTGTGCTGTTGACACGATGTGCTTCAGATGCTCATAACCGTTCATTTTAATGATTATGACAAACGGTTAGACCAACAACTCAGTGTTCCAGAAAATGATGTTGCATGAGTTTTTATATATACATTGTTGTCACAATGTAAAGCAGTTTTATATATATATATATATATATATATATATATATATATATATATATATATATATATGCACTGAAATATTCATGCTATAGCCTACGCAATCACGTGGAATACTGCTAACTTAACAGTTTTCCAGCAGAGAGTCACTTCAGGCTCCGCAGGGAAAATAAGCCTAAAAAAAGTAACTACTGATGAAGCAGGTTGAATAGTTAAATCTAAGACTGGAAAGTTGAGTGGAAGAAAAAAGAGTGACAAAAAACGTACAAAAGCAACAGGGATGATCACAGTCTTGATAGGATTGTGAAGGAAAAAAACATTCAATAGATTTAATTGGACTAGATTCAGTATTTTTTTATATATATATAATTCATTTTTGGCTGCTGTTAGTGGTCAGGAGTCAAATCCAGGACAACCACAATGAGGATTATCAACTCTACTTACCAAAACAAGCAGGGATGCGACCAATTATTATATGATTATCGATTACTATACAGATTAATCAATTAACTGCATAAATGAATGGCACACTCTGCAACATTTTATTCAGCAATTATAGCTTTTTGTAATACAATATTAGAAATACCTCAAAAAATGCAAATAATCAAATTTTATTGCCAAAAATGCATAAACATAACATTCGTT